AGTCACCTCGTGATACGTTGTTGGTGCCTCTCCGCCGCTTAGTTAAGAAGTATTGAAACCTTCTTAGCTGTAGTAAGTCACATTGATGTGACATGATAAGACTACCTTCTCAATGGCTTTGTCGTCAACGCAGCTCATTTAAAAAGCCCAACTTTAGTACATCTCCAATTCTTTTTACTCTGAAGAAAAACAAAATGGACTGCTTAACCTATCAGGATATGTTTGAGCACAATAAAGCTGCTTTTTTGGCAGCTGTGTCGGCTGTTAAGCCTGCAAACTTAATAGAGAGTTCTGTACAGATAAATGGAAGTATTCTGACTGTAAAAGGTGGTATTCCATTTTAATTTTAAAAAGAATATTAGTTGTACGACTTTATTTTCTACTTATTTCACATTTTACTTTCATCAACAGGGAATGACTTTCAGCTGAAGCAACCATGCCATGTAATTGGATTTGGCAAAGCAGTTTTGGAAATGGCATTAACAATGGAAAGAAAATTGGGCGACTATATGAAGCAGTGCGTAATAAGTGTACCCGTAGGTACAAAAAAAGCGCACTCAATACCTTCAAACACCAAGGTTGAGATACTAGAGGGAGCAGCAAACAATCTTCCAGGTAAAGTAGCCTTAAAAGTGAATCAAACAGTAAATTTTTAAACTTTGAAATACATCAATTAAATTGTAATCCGTCATCAGATAAAGAGGCAGAAGAAAATACAAGGAAGATTTTAAAAATTGTAGAGGATCTGAAAGAGGATGACACTCTCCTTGTACTTATTTCGGGTGGAGGCTCTGCATTACTTTCACTACCAGTTCACCCTCTTACACTGGAGGAAAAATTGCAGGTATGCTACTTTGACCATGCTTTTATCAAGAATTTTAATGTAAAAAGATGTAGTAGTAATGAACTCTGTAAACAATTTTTCTGGGCAGGTAATAAAACAATTAGCAAATGCTGGGGCTGACATCCTCCAATTAAACTGTGTACGGAAGAGTTTGTCTGCTGTAAAAGGGGGCCAGTTAGCTGCTGCAGCTCAACCAGCAACTATTATCTCACTAATCCTGTCTGATGTGATTGGAGATCCAGTTGATTTTATTGCAAGTGGTCCCACTGCTCCTAATAAGGACAACCCTGCTGCTGCATGGGATATAATTTGCAAATTCCAGCTCCAAAATTCCATACCTCAATCTGCTGAGGTTTGTCTTCGTTCCAATTATTCAAGAGCAAACTCTAATCTAAAGGACAAAGAAGTTAACAATATTCTTATTGGCAATAACTTGGTGGCAATTACAGCGGCCATGAATAAGTTGATAAGCCTGAACTACTCTGTGTGTTTTTTATCTCCAAGCATTCAGGGTAATGTCACAAGAATAGCAGTGTTTTACTCTCAATTGGCATCTAGGATATGTAGATTTTTAGCCTCCAGCAAATGCAATTTATTTGAGGGATTGGAAGAAGCATATTTGCTCTCCATAGAAGCTAGAAATGAGATTGAGAAAACTGTTTGCAACAGCTCCCATACTAGAGGAATTTGTCTTATTGCTGGAGGAGAAACAACTGTGAGAGTAACAGGAACTGGGAAAGGTGGCCGTAATCAAGAACTTGCACTCAGATTTGCAGAAGAATCTAAAAAAATATCAACTGGATGTGAATATGCGAATCAATTCTCAATCTCACTCTTGTCTGCGGGTACTGATGGCATTGATGGACCTACAAATGCTGCTGGAGCTTTTGGATATGCTGAACAATTAGATGGCAATGAAGACTACATAAAATATTTAGAAGACAGCGACACCAATACTTTCTATTCTAAATTGAATGCAGGCAAGAATTTAATTCTCACAGGACACACTGGCACTAATGTAATGGACATTCATATTGTAACTATTTGCAAAAAGTGAAGTAAATTTTTCTCCATGGTAGGATGTACTGATTATCAGGCAAAGTTTTATTTTTAATAACAGAAGACAGAAAGAGGAGGAAAAACATAGACATATTTTGACAGATTGAAGAAGATGTCAGCTCCGCTCAGTCTAACTTAGCCTACAGTTGGATGCTTTCTCTGTACAAAAACAATTGCCTCAGGTATAAACAACGCTTTTCCGAGTTAGTGATTTATACAACATTCAGACCTGATTCTTTCAGAGCAGAAACTTTTAAGCTTGTTAAAAAAACTGTTTCACAAAATATATTGTTTCAAACAATAATTGAAATAATAAAAAAAAGAAAATGTTTATTTTTAGAAAGCAAATTCGTAGCACTAAATATTCTCTATAGGTTAGCTGGCTATCTCTAAATACTCAGCAGCTGCTGGTGACAGTCATCGATGATCGTTCACACTCTGCTTGCAGAGTGTACGGGGAGGAGGCACTCTGAGTGGTTCCATTTCCATACATAAGAAACAGATTGATATAGAGAGATGAAAGCAAGATCGAAGTCGTGATCTTATCAGCGTGACAGTTTCTTCGCTGACTACTTCGTAAAGCTCATCAATTCTGTCACACGTCACAGTCACCTCGTGATACGTTATTTGTGCCACTTCGCCGCATAAGAAGTATTGAAACCTTCTGTAGTAAGTCACATTGATGTGACATGATAAG